ACCTAAAGAGTCTCTGTAGGCTTTTATTTGAAGAAATCCATAAAACTAAAAGCTCTATAGTGCATAAGTATCTAAGCCTACCAACCTCAGTAAATATTCATGTCACAGTTGGCAAACAAAAGGGAAATATTTTGTAATGCAAATAATTTAGCTGTTAAGCAAACTACAGATTAATGTAATACAACAATGCTAAAGCTTCATTTACCTGTTTTGAAAGCAATAATGTATGACAAGGAGTTCTACAGATCAAACATTCATCTTTTTTGCCTGTAAGGTAAAGACACATTTAAAATACACATCAAACTCAATAGATTTTGAATACATTTTTAACAGAATTTAATGCCTAAACCTTTGTTTGGAGCTTGTGGAAGGAACCTGAAGGTTATACAAGAAATGCAAATAAACATGAATAAAGAATGTGATTCTAAAACCATTACACACAGTTGCACAGGGAAAATGTGTGTGAATGTCATCAGGTCTTACTCCTGCAAATAAGCATTCATGTAAATGATTTTATGAATATCATTAATGTCACTGAATGCAGGTGACTTTTAGTTCCTTTGATTTAAATAGGATTACTTGCCTGGTTTAATTATATGTATGCTTAAGTGCACTAATGAGTTAGAGTCAACTAGATATATGACTTTTTAGATTGGGGCCCAGTCTGGCTCTCTTGATAAAATATATGAAAACCTAACTTCAAAGAATTAATAATTTTACCTTGTGAATTTTTCCAGTGAAAAATTAATCACATCACTTTTTTAAACTCTATCATTTTTTAAAACGTCTCATTGATTATTTGCAAACATATTAGCAAATATGTATAGTAAATTCATATGACTACAATATTCATAACTGATAATTTTACTAGCTGCTTCCTTTCTAAGGATTCTAAGGATCAATGTTTATAAACATCTTTAAAGCGTAAATACATTTTAAACTTGATATTATCATTGTTATTGAATTCACAGAAAAAAAATATATAATATCTCAGGGTTTTTTCTGTCAAACGATATTAACAGCAGAAAGGAAAGCTGTTGTTCAGGTTCTAGGAGTCTGCAAGTTATATTTAGAGGCTGCATTTTATGATCCTCTCTCCTCGACAGCAACCCTGTGAAAACTTTTAGTCAAAAGTTTTTCATTCTGATTGATCATTTATTCTGTGTGCCCTTACAAAAACCAGGTCATTTAGCACGACCTCAAAGGCAAAAACATTGATATTTGTCTGCTATTTTTTTCTTTTGAAAAGCAACTTCCTTATTCCGCTATCTTTTCCACAGATCTTCGTCTAAGCACATCACAGGAGTCCCAGAATATGACTCAGGAATTGTATACAACACACAAGAGCTTCAAAACATCACCTCCAATCATCCTAATGCTGCTGAAATTTTCTAGTATTTCAGTGACAATACTGAGATATAAAATGTCTTAAGACTATTAGCAAAACCTGCCCTAAACAGATCCTATGTTTTGCAAATTGCTCTTTCACTAATGAAAAAGCATGTCCTTTCCAAAATTGGACAGAACAGAATGCCATCTTATTTTTTCTACAATGCAATCATGGATCATAAGCATCCAGACTCAGGTTTTATTAAAGCCTCCAGTTTTCTGTAGCTAAGGCTTGCTCTCAAAGCCACGTTGCTCCAGCCAGATCTATCTGGAGACACAGGTGGTTTTTACTGTTCAAAGAAAATCAATACCAAGAATTGAAAAGGTTTATCAATAACATTCGATTGACAAGAAGAAATGTTCAAGCCTTTCTTTTTTTCCACAGTGAGTCAGAAATGCTAACAGTTAAGGTAAATATGTGCACACTGGCACTGCGTGACCCGCTGATGCAGAGGGCCGAGCCGCCCGTGCCTGCAGCAGCCATTACCTTTCTGGAGACAGATCTCACAGATAACATGGCCACAGCTCGTGAGGCTGAACCGTGGGGTGGGCTTGCAGGGCTCACAGAAACAGACATTGCAAAAGACCGGGACAGCCATGGGACAGAGGTGCAGGAGCAGGCAGCTGAGGCAGATGCTGACCCTCCTTGCCGCCCCCGGGGTGAGGCCTACAGGCCTCCCTCCGCCATGTTCCTTTGGTCTGAGGCAGCGCGGGGCCCTGAGGCGAAGGGTGGCAGTGCCCCACCCCTACCCAGGGGGGCCTGAGGGCAGCAGAGTTTGATGCTCACACCCCAAAAAAAGGGTTTTTTCTGGCCTCTCACTACCAAACCGGAGAGGGTGCCCACACAGGGAATCTGCTCTGAGAGATTTCCCCCTCCCTTCCCCACATCTGGGCAACTGGACTGGGCTAGCCACCAGGGCTCCGGGTAGGCGCTTCGCCACGAGCCCTGTCCTCCTCACAGAGGCAGCCGTGCAGCAGGGGCTGCCATCAGGACAGCAGGTGTGTGGAAAATGGCAGGGGCTTTTCACTCGTTTAAATGCAGGAATCAGGGAAGGTTATTAATTTACTGTCACAGGTTTGTTGTTGCTTCTTTTGGTGGGGAAAAAAGTGTAACGCAGGGAGTTCTGACTTTCATTTTTTAGATTGAAAAAACCCCAGGGCTTGCTAATTTCCCTTGATGAAAAGTTTAGTGGAAAATTCTCTTACAGACCTACTTGCAGTGCAGGCTGTAGCTCTGAGTATGCCAGAGCCACTGACTGCATAGGAGGAACCTCTGGCTTTTAACTTCATAAAGACCATTGCCCCCAAAGTGCTTCCCAAAAGACCTATGATTCAGATTCTGCTTTATAGAGTTAATTAAAAATCTTGCAGGAGATTGAAAACATTTCATCAAAGCAAAGATATTTAATTATTATTATTATAGATAAAGAATGAAGCGCTCTCAAGCTATAGTCAAGGCTCCAAGTCTCAGTGCTGGTTTGAGTATAGACCTAACTAATGCAGAGGAACATAATCAGCTCCTTTAAAAATTCTGACATGGTGCCTGTCCTTTTGGTTTAAAAGCTTAAATGTATTGTAAGCAAGATGAGTTGTTTGTCATTAGGATGTAGTTAGGAGCCTTACACTAAATATCAGCTAATGTCTGAACCACAACCTTGTAGAAACCCTTTATTAAACTTTCTTCTTGGACTTCATATACCATACATCTTTCCTTCTTTCCCACCACCAAAGATGTTATTACAAGACATGTTGTCAGTGCTCTATAAAAGTGAATTTAATAACACTTATTTACTGGGCATTTCAGGTGACAACTCTAAAGTCTCAGAATTTTTAAATATAGGACACACCTCAGTGAGTAGCTTTATGAGATTTTATTTTGATAGATTTGTTCCATACAACATTGCGTTTTGTCTCTACTCTGTATCAACTACCCTTTAGACTAGTCTGGAAAGACAAGTAGGAAGACAAACCACAATATTCTGCTGTGACAGGGCTCTCTAGAAACTTTTTCAAGTTTCATGTTTTACATGTTAACCAAGTGCTGAGATGGGCTATGTTATAATCACCTCCAACTCCTTCTTACACTACTACTGCTTTGTCAAGCTAATTATCTGAATTCTTAACCACAGCTTTTGACTAGTAATTGCATGATACTGTAGCTACTCTGCTAGTTGTACATAAACTGGCTAAATTAAGGCATAAATATATATTCAACCAAGCTGCAATAAATGAAATGGAAAAGCATGATTAAGTCAAAAACTGGTAAGTTCCTTAGACAGTCATGTTACAGTTACTGAATAATTAAAATAAAAATAATTCTCCAACACAGAAACAGACTGAAGAATTTAGTGTAGGAATAACTTAAAATAAAATATATAGGCACAAATTCAGTGTTTACCAAGAAACCTGTAATTTGATTTACTTTGGCATACTTCATAAAGAACAATTTACATAAACAACTGTGGGCAAGGTCTGATCTCAACTCTATAGCCTAATGTTTAGGGCTTATCTGGGAGCAAAAAGTAAGTACAATTCCAAATTGTTTGTCTAGGCCTCTCTCTTCCACGGTAATTGTTGCAACCACTTATCATAATATTAAAGGTGGGCTCGACTGTCACTTAAAACTTTGAATATTTTAAAAGAAAACTGTTTGAGCAAAAGCTAGGTCTTACACATATATAGGTTGAGTTCAAGACACTTTCACCAAATTAAGCACCACAGGGGATATGGTTGTTTCTCTGCCTACTGTCTGAATCCTGGTCAGTCTGAAACGCTGAACTGCCCAGGCTAGTACGGAATAATTTACTAAGCAAGTAGATGTACTGGTTTTGGCTGGGATATAGTTAAATTTCTTCATAGTATCTTGTATGGGGCTACGTTTTGGATTTGTGCTGCCAATAGTGTTGATAACACAGGGATGTTGTAGCTCCTGCTGAGCAGTGCTGACACAGTGTCAAGGCCTGTTCTGCTCCTCACACTGCCCTGCCAGTGACTAAGCTAGAAGTGCACAAAAGGTTGGGAGAGGACGTAGCTGGGACAACTGACCCCGACTGACCAAAGGGATATTCTATACCGTGTGATGGCATGTTGAGCAATAAAACTACAGGGGATGTTGGCAGGGGGGCTGCTGGGCATTGGTTGGTTGATGGTGAGCAATTGTTTTCATTTGCATCACTTGTCTTCCTTGGGATTTATTTTTCTCTCTGTTGTTTTTTTTACCCTTCCGATTCTCTCCCCCATCCCATTGGGGATGGAAGGAGAGTGACTGAGAAGCTGTGTGGTGCTTAGTTGTTGGCCAGGGTTAAACCACGACAGTAGAAAACTTTGAAAAGCTAGGAAACTTTTTTTAGATTTTTATTTTACATGTAACAATCCTGAGTTGAACTTAAATGTTGCCTTTGTCATTGAGCCCTTCTTCTAGATTTAACATTACATCTGCAGAGGAAAAGAAACGGAAAAAAGATGGAGAAACCAGAGTAAGAACCTGAGTAGAAGATGAGAGAAGCTTGAGAGTTACATACAACCAATTTTCTCATAGATACAGGGTTTCTTTGGATATTAGGTGTTATATGGTGTGCAGTTTTCGAATCTGTGCATTTACGTTGTAAGACTTAAACAAGCTTCTTAGATATAAAGAAATCTCTGAGAGATTTGATTTGCCAGATTCCAATGGAGATGAGGATTAGTGTTTGTACAATAGCCCACCACAAAATATTGCTGTTGGTTTCTTCACTTGTCTTCCGAAATTTTTCTTCACGCTCCTGAAGAAAAAAGGAAAAGCATAATTATTACCTTTTGGCATCTGTATGTTTCATGCTGCTATCTGCGTTGATAAAAATGAAAGTTTCTTCTTATCCATAAAGTGGATATCTTTACAAATCAAAACCAAGAAGCAGACGCACTGTATCCTGAAGCAGAAAGGCAAACAGAGCTTTCCCTTGTTCACAAAAGACACATTGTGCTAAATATGTTCCATTAGTACAGGCTTAAGCCTTTTTAGGTTTACAGTCACTTCCATATTGCAGTCAAGAACCTTTCTGCAGCCAGATTTTTTTTAGATAACTAGTTGATATATTTCAAACACAGCCTGACTGCCTGCCTATGTCTAGAAAAGGGAAGACAACGGGTGTACACTTGTTTCAAGGAGGGCTTTATTTCTAACTGCATGGAGGTATATAAATATACACTCAGTCATTTCCTTACCCACTCCAATAAAGTTTATGCACATAGACCACCACGGAAGCAACAGCTGGCAACATCACCAGCAACGGCACCTGCCACCTGCTCAGCTGCTGTTACTGACTAACCAAGAAAACTATATTTGGAAATTCCTGCTTTAAAATAACACCTGTTGCTATAAGCATGAGTTCCCAGTGATTAATTAGTTTTTATGTTACAGCTTAAAAATATTTTGCAAGGTAACGTAGGCTATTTTGGTTAAATACCAATAGATTTTTATGAGTTAGTTAAAAATTACACTGCAATTAAACAATAAACCTCATAATACTTTATAAATCTGTAAGCATATGTACAATATTTGTAACATTTCCATTAGTGAACATACATACTCTTTCATAGTTTTGTTCTTTGGATATATGATGAATTTGCTCAATTAGATGTTCTAGTCTAAAGTTAACTTCATTCACTTTGTCTTTGGCTTGAACAACAGACTCATCCAAAAAATGTTCTCCAACTCTAATGTCCAAATGGATACGCTGCAAACAGAAAAAATATTCTCATTACTGTGTCTTCTGTGTTTTCAAAATTCCTTAGAAAAACAGAAACAATGGATAATTTCCCTTTAAGCTCATTACACAAAAGTAGTTTTCATTGCCTATAGAAATCCTTCCCAAAATTAGAATCAGGTGGGATATTTAAAGTGTTTCTTAATTTTTTTTTTAAATTAATTATATAAATTTAAAGTCTTCACTATTGTTAGGGCATTATTTTATGCTAAGTATTGATTCAACCACCATGAAAATGTTTTCTGTTCTTTGTCCAAGCTAGTTAAAAAATAAGCACCATTGGGACTGCTCATTGTATTTCACATTGCATCCTGATATTGCAGAAATTATATTCTTCAGTAGTACCTCAGGAAGCTTTTTATAGATGCACTTCTAGATTTCCTCCACTAACAGTTAGGAATATAAGACTGGAAGAAGACTAGCTGAATCATTATTCGTAGCTATTAAAGCAGAACCATCCATAAGGTATCTTTTTTCTTTCTCCACACACAGTTTATTCCAGTATGAAATACCTCCCATAAGGTGGTATATAAGGAAATACCTCCCCAATCCTATAAGCTATTGTACAATCTATAGCAAAAATGCCCCAAACCTACCAAGGAATAGGTACCATAGAAAGAAAAGAGAAGAATGGAACTTGCAATATTATGCAACTTATTTTGGCATGAATGAAAAATTTTACTAAAACTAATAGAAGTTCTCTTAGAAAGCAATTTGTACCTAAGAGAAAATAAAAAGTTTTAGCCAAACAATCTGCGGAAATCCTAGAGCTTGGTATTACCACGATAGAAGTTTGGTCTACTCAGACATCAACCACAAATAAAGAGCACATCTTCTTTCAGCTCTCATAAAGTTAGCTAACTGAATATCCAGAAATCCATCTCACAACTTTATGGTAGCCTTTGTCCATAAATTTATTTAACTTTGGTTTGAAGCAGTTCAGATTACCACCATTGCATCTGGTTCTTACAGAAGACCAGTTAAAGATTTAACTTAGCTAAAGAATGTTTTTCCTTTTGTGATCTTTATTCTTGCAGATGTAAGTATAAAGAGCAATGTTTTCCTTTTTTACTTCTGTGTTCTTAAGCTAAACAAACCACCCTAATTAATATTTGTGCTATTAATGTTCTCCTTCCCTGCACCTGTTCACTTCTTTTAAATACGTTGGCCGAAACTGTACATGGTGCATGCATCATGTAAAATTATATTAATACAGCTCCATCTATACCAGAGAAAATTCTCCTGGTGTATCCTCAGAATCACATTAATGGTGCGTAGTTAACTATGACCAACCAATGCTTTATCCCCCTTACACTGTCTAGTTGATGAGCTCACAGATTTTTTTATTATTAGAACCTCAGTGCTTTTGCAATGTGTATGATTAAATTTCCACTCATTTCCATAAATCAGTCCATAAGAACACCTATTTATTCCAGTGTAATAGTCCCACTTCAGTACTGTTAATTCTTCTCGGTTCTGTGTCATCTACAGGTTCCCAAAGCGTACACCTAGGATGAAATTTGGCCTGTCTCACTTAATATGTTTACGAGATGTTTATATCTAGCTGGTTATCTAACTCTTTTGCAGTCAACTGGAAAAAAAAAAAAACCCACCTCTAGAGAGTAATTCTCACCTGTTGAACTATCTTTTGAGAAGAGGCATATAGATAAAATTTTCAAAACAGTGTTTATGAAAATGTTTGCTGAAATAGATCAGATCCATGATATCACCTCTGCTGGCTTCTTTTTTTTCAAAATCTGCATTAAGACCAACTTTGTTGGTACTACACAATATCAAGTATGCTAATATATTCATAATTTGAATATCTTTCAAAAATTAAAATGTTACATTTTCTTTAGGAATTCAATCTAAGTTCGTGAAGACATAGAATATCTTTATGACAAGTGTTTGTGTTAGTCAATCTTACATATCTATCTTTTTGAACCAAATAGTTCTTACTGATCAGAATCTTTCACATTCAAAGCACTGTACAAACATTAAATCACTCTATAGCTATTAGTCTTGCCTCTTTAATCTTGACTTCTTAAATATCACAACAGTCTTTTTATCTCTTGATCTTCGTAATTCTAGGTTTGTCTTCTTTAATCACTAAGAAATGTTGAATTATCTGCTAGAAGTTAGGCCAACTTCTAATCTAGTTTGTAATCTCTGCAGTTTGTAAATAATTGATACTATTACAACAAAGAATATTTAAGAAATGCACCTACCAGTTTACTTCCTGCAAAAGCCACAAATCTTGTGGAGTTAGACTGTAAGCAGATAACATGCTCCCCAGATAGATAGGATGTAAAAGAAAATGTTCCTTGTGGCCCATACAGTTTTGACAATAGTACCTGTAATTTAGATATTATATATGTTGGGTATGTGCATTATAAATATCAAGAAAATAATAAAAAAACAGTACTGTCAGTTGGATGTAAAAAGTAATCAATTAACCTCCTGACATCATAGAATCATAGAATCACAGAGTGGTTTGGGATGGAAGGGACCTTTAAAGGCCATCTAGTCCATCCCCCCTGCAATGGGCAGGGACATCTACAACTGGATCAGGTTGCTCAGAGCCCCATCCAGCCTGGCCTTGAATGTTTCCAGGGATGGGGCATCTCCCACCTCTCTGGGCAACCCTGTTCCAGTGTTTTACCACCCTCATCGTAAAAAATGTCTTCCTTATATCTAGTTTGAATCTACCCTCTTTTAGTTTAAAACCATTACCCCTTGTCCTATCGCAACAGGCTCTGCTAAAAAGTCTGTCCCCATCTTTCTTATAAGCCCCCTTTAAATATTGAAAGGCTGCAATAAGGTCTCCCCACAGCTCTTTAAGTACTGAAAGGCTGCCATAAGGTCTCCCTGCAGCCTTCTCTTCTCCAGGCTGAACAACCCCAGCTCTCTCAGCCTTTCCTCACAGCAGAGGTGCTCCATCCCTCTGATCATTTTTGGGGCCTCCTCTGGACCCTCTCCAACAGGTCCATGTCCTTCCTGTGCTGAGGACCCCAGAGCTGGACGCAGGGCTCCAGGGGGGGTCTCACCAGAGCAGAGCAGAGGGGCAGAATCCCCTCCCTCGCCCTGCTGGCCACGCTGCTTTTGATGCAGCCCAGGATACGACTGGCTTTCTGGGCTGTGAGAGCACATAAATTACATCATTAAATTTCATTAAATCATTAAATTTATCTGAATTTCAGAATAGATTTAGAGAAAAATAAACAATTTTAGCTCACAGTGAACATTGAAATGTTATAGATTTCTGCAATGTACAAAAGCCAATGCTCTCTGAAGCATTTAAAGTTTGAAAGTGAAGACCTTGTCTAGGCATAGAAAGAAATTGTCCGTTGCTGAAAAAAGCTCAGGACCTCATGGCAACACGGACAGTTGTTATGCATCATGGCTATATGCAGCCTCATGCTAATCTTTAATTTTGCAGTTCAGTTTATCATCAGCCTTCCTTTGTGCTGCTCAGGTACATTCTGTACCAATTTACTTCATTAGTGAATTTTCATTTTTTTTTTTTAATTTAACCTGTTTTCTCAGTTGTCACTTACTGTTCTTAATGACAGTTTCCCAAATCCAGTAGTAATGCAAAAATCGTCTGCACACATCATTATCAAACATTGTTATTTCTATTTACTTTGGTAGAAATCACAAGGTGCTTATACCTTTCAGCATCAAAATACTGAACTAACTGGTAGACTGTAGATTTACTTTTTCCCCAAAAACGCCTGTCATTTTTAGATAGTGCTGCCTGTCAGTGCCAAAAGTCAACTCATAAATCCTACAGAAACATTCATAAAGCATAATTACCTCAGCAGAAGGAGTTGTGACAGTCACAAACATTCCCAAACCAGGAGCAGATTCAAGAAATTCTTGTTTATGTATATCCCAGCGTTGTACTTTGTAATTCCCTGAATAAAAACATAGAAAAAAACCTGTTAAATAAAACATAGCTTAATATTAAACATCTTTATTGCTTTTTCAGCAAAAATATAAAGATAAATGATTAACAATAAAGCAATATATGTATTTCATGTGCTTATGATTAAAATTGCTTGGGGGCACTTTGTAACAGTGTGAAATGCAATAAATTTTTACTACACTAGAAAATGTTCTAGAATACTACAAAAATGGTTGATTAACAAGTAATACTTTCTGATTACTCCTAATGCTCTGGCAAAATTAGCATACAGAAGGCATGCTGAGACCTCCAAAAGCATGTGTGCTGTATTCAAAATAAATTTTTAGGATTGTCTTTCATATTTATCACATTATTTATAAAAAAGATGATTATATATTATTTTTCACTATCCCTTTTCAATCTTACATTTACAGTCTTGTAGACAAGTTTAATGTGCTTGTGATATCCCAGGTGAAATGGAACTTTAGTACATATTGAATTGCTTCTTTCCACACCAATGTTAACCAAAAAAGTAACTCTCCCATTCATATGGGGAAAACCATGTTACAAAAATTCGGGTTGGAATGAGTAAATCAGTCAGAATGTATAGAAGCACACATGGAAGCAGCAATTCCACTGCAGCAGAATTAGAAGACAGTTTTTTTTCTTTGTCTAGTCAGTTAAGCACTCTGGAAACCTGCATTTCTTTGTGTGGTGGATACACACAATGTGTGAGGACATTATGACTAACCCCTGCTGCAGGGAATTATTTTCAGTGTGTCCTCTTTCTTATCACTGTGGTTGTACCATATTTATCAATCACAGATTTTCCTGTTAGATTGCAAGCTATCTTTATTATTGTATAGGTTAGATCATCGTATAGCATTGACAGGTACCTACCAATTACCAATGTGTCACTGGGAACATCTTCGATTATGCATTTCTCTTCTCTTTCTCCACTGTGAAAATATAAAGCAAGTGAAAAAGAAATCCAAAAGTTCATAAGAAATCCTATTAATTGGCTTTTCATGGTTTTATGTATCCCAGTTGTACTGCTTTTGACGATAACTATTTACAAATGTATGTAGTCCTGTGGTCGTTCCTTGTTTGCTGCTTATCAGTGTATTTTTGAGGGAGGAAAAAAACTGTGAGAAAAGGCAGCTGGTGGTTACACATTTATAAAAAACTACAGTATGTTCTGAAGAATGAGATAACATGAAAAAGATAACTTGTAAAACCTTTTTTCTTTCCCAGCATCTAGATTAAAATTTTATTTTATACACATAGAAGAGCATGAAACTGGAAAGGACCTCTCGAGTACTTGAGATCAGTTCCCTAGATTACTATAAGCAACAACATTGGCTGTCTCTTTCCATAAACTGCTCAATTTTCAACTTAAATGACCTTGTTAACTTACATTTCACATTTATTCTGGGTGATTATTCCAGAGCTTCACTCCTCTTTTATTAAGAAATTTCCAACCCAAATCATTGGACATATGTATCCATTTCTACAAAACACATAGGGACTACATAAAAGGGCTGAAAGAAATATGAAGAAGTCTAAAGAACTTGAACAATAAAAGACTCTGAAACACTAATGAATATGATACAGCGCAAAAAATATATTAAAATTAACACTTTCTGAATAAGATTTTTTACATAAGAATGTCTTTCTCTTAGATACTGCCTAATAAACTCTCTAAAGAAAGTTATAGTGTAAATTAAATAATGATAGAGGTTTTTATTATTGCCCTTTTTACTGCTATAGACCAAACAATCTATATGCCTGATGATGAACTCAGTTACCACTCAGGTGTTCCTTGTCCTATAAACTGTGTCTGAAAGGTTGGCCTCAATGTGAGAGGATATGTGGTCATTTTCCAGCAGGGAGGACCTACCTATGGGATCATTTCCAGTAGGGAGGAACCACCTTTGAGCTCATTTTCCCCTTCAGAAACTCTCTACACTCCTGTTGTAAGACTCTGACTCTCTCCAGCCCTGCCCTGATCCTCAGCAGCGCCTGGCATTTGCAGATGAAATTGTTCAGTGATGTCCCTGAATGTGTCTTTGATGAACCTCTGAGCTCACTTCAGAGTTTTGTCATCTTGACTTCGGGGTATGGGATATAAGCTACACACACATGCCATATAAGTGGTACACAGTGCCATAGACAGGGAAACCACCATCTCCTTGCTGGAATTTACCAGCATTTATTTTGCTTGAAAAGGTGGTAGCTGGATTTTATTTTATGTTTTGCTTTTATATAGCTGTCAAATACTCAAATACTGCATCCTCAACACTATGCACACAGCAAAGGATCATGACTAGCCCTTTTCCCTTCTTGTTCAATACCTCCTCTGAATTCTTCTTTCAGTTTCCTCATAGAATGTCCCATTTGCATTTACTATTCTTTGGTGACACCTATTTATTAGTAAATAAAACCATGTTATTCTTCCTATCCATTTCTGAGCAGCCCTTCTGAGAAACTGCTTTAGCAGGAGGTACATTCTGCTAGTGCTGGCAGCCCTAGAATTGGCTCTGTCATAACACAAACACGTGTATTTTCCTAGTATCAAGGAAGAGGATGGACAGCAACTCATCCTCAAGATCTGTAACCTAAATACCTAAAATTTCAGGATGGTAACTCTTACCGGATTATTTCACACCTGCTGGTTTATGGCCCTTCACTCTACCTGCTGTCTATAAAGTTGTCTCAGTAAAAAATGTCTTTGTCTGATACTGACACAGGCTCACAACCATCATAAGTTCAGTCCGTTCCACAGCATGAAGTATCTTCACAGAAGTTCTAGCACAAGTATTAGTTCACCTCCAGCAAAATACAACATCCTTATACTGATAAAGAGATAGTCAAAGATGAGGAGCCTTTATTCCTTAAACATTACTTCTTTGTCTTTGACTCCATATGGTTAAGGGTAGAGGGATACAAATTGCATCTCATGGCCATTGAATCCTTAGGAGTCTCAAGGGTGATACTAGGAGTCTGTTACTACTTTAGCATTTATCCATCAGAAATAATTTTAGATTATACGGAATGCCATCTTATAATTGGTCTCTTACCCCTCCACCACAGGGAGATCTTGACTGACACGCACTTGCATAAATTCTCATGCCATACTATACCTGCAAGAAATACAAGTTTCTCTGCAGATTCTGAGCTACTTAAGCAACCATCCTTTTAGGTTTTCATTGACTACTTGAGGTTTCCAAAATTCCGTGTTCCAATGGTAGAACACAAGATGAACAAGTGGATGCCACTTTATCCTTCACTCTGCCCAGACCAGTTGGGACAGACACATTAATTCTGTACTTTTGGCTAGCAAATGCTAACATAGTAGGGCTGCTGGACTTCAAACAAACAAAAACAAGTCAGCTTCCAGGTGATCAGGTTGTCATGCAGCATGTTGAGAGCTTTTTTGTCTCAGGCATTCACAGTACCTGTAAATTACCATGGACACAACTTCTGCATACTACATCCCATTAAATAAGATTCTGCTGTACTTCAGAATTGCTATATCCAGTGTTAGATTTATTTTCTGAGCATGTTAAATATTGTCATGGAATAGTCTGAGTTACTTTATTATGTTGGATCCTTCATAACAGATCAGATATTCCCAATGTAATTCAATTACCTGGGACTGGGGGAATATCATGAAATGGACTTTTTTGCCTGCAATACCATCAAGTACTCTCAGATCTTTTGCTCACATTCTAGTTATGTCCTGATGGGGACAGTGCTCATTCAGTGCTCAGAAAGCCTGGCATATACTTCCCCTCCCATTCTAGAAGTTAGTCACACATTAGTTTCCATGACCATGCTTAGACAGTGTGGCTAGGATATTAGAGCTATTTTTCAATGAATCCAAGACTATCCTTCCCCAAAATGATCTTTAAGAGCAGACCCTGTGCCATTCTGACAGTTGCCTACAACATTTCATAGCAGGCTCGGTGGACAAGATTTGGTCAGTTAGAGTTGGCCCACTTACACAGTACACTTACATAGTATAGAGTTGGCCTCTGATGCAGCTTCTCCTCAGTTGTGGGAAGGCATATTTACTTAGCAAAATGGAACAGGGTGTCAAACTGCAGTTAGTGAGTTTGTTTCATGGATACATCCTGGGCACATCCAATCTTTTTGGAGTATTTTGTAGAATGAAATATCTGCCCTCTCCTTTACTCCACCTAAGGCTCACACAACCAACATTTATGCGATGGTACCAGGGAGAGTTTTTCTGTTCATTTCATAGACCACATCAGTCTTTCCTGTATCCTGACTTATCTATAAAATACCCTGTTTTTTCCTAGTCACTAACCACCAAGGTGCTGTGTTGGATGTCTGCAGAGAAGCCACAGCCCATAGAAAAGCATAAATATATACACAGCTTCAGCTGGGATTCCTACCTACTAGGGGATAACAGGAAGAGCTTTCATGTGTTCGCAGCTAACTGTCCTTAAATTCCTTAAGGATGGAATAAGCTGGATAAGTTGTTCTCAGTAATGAGGTACCTTATTCCACCATAGGAATTGAATTTGGTGTTTGTGGTTTTTGTAGGACCATAGTTCAAATTTATGGTGACTTTTTTTGTTGCTACACTTACCTTTAACCGTGTCTTCCATTCTGCAAGAATATCTGCCAAGGCATCAAAGCCGATCCTTCCTACAAAACATTCTTGCTAAAAAAATTTTCTTTACAAATCCCTTTCAAGTTTCCTCCCAAAGTGTTTTCTGAGATTAGTTTAACCCAGAAATTAATTTACCTATTTCCTTCCCTAAATCTCATGTATTTAGGACCACAGCATCTTGGCTACCAGCCATCTGTAACACTAGATGTAAGGGAAAAGGAAGGAAAAGCGTCTCTCTGTTTCTTCCCTGTCCCAAAATTTTTAAGACAAATCCAAGACTCTGCTGAAAGTAAAAGCTACAAAGGCCTAGCCATATCTACACAGGGACCACATACCTCACTAGTCAGTTTAATAAAGATATGTTATGGGAAATGTTCTCCATCATTAGAATGTGCTTCACTAGAACTCACTGTATCTACAGTCTTGCCAAGAAATGTCTCTATCCCTGGTGTTTGCAAAGTGAATACCTGGAACTCTATTTGCAGCCGAACATTATAGTGCCACAAGGGCATCCTTAAAGGATGCCATATTTACTAAGGTCTCCTGAAGTCACTGCTTACAAAAAAAGCCATATCCAGGTAACTGAATGGATAGGAAACTTCTGCTTGAAGGAATCCGCAGTGAATATTCATGTATGTAAACACTCTAAAACAGAAAAATTATTTATCAATAACTGGAGTTTCCTGAAATATGTTGGCCTTTTACACATTCACTTCCCTTTCTACTCCACCTCCCCCTCTCATCCCTTCTCCTTCAGCGTACTTTGGGAGACTTTTGGCTTCAGGAATAAACACTGGGTCTGCTCCACTATCAAATCATATCTTGTAGGACTGAAATCCTAGATTCGGGTCATGTATACAATTACAGATGCAGATACTCTTTTACTCGACCTAGCCCTTTAGTTGTTCTGTACATGCGAAGAAGAAAAACTCTAGTGTTTAGAGAACTTCCAGGAAGGTTCCTCCAAGGATACCTTGTGGTTTGTGGGTTTGTTTTCCCTAAGTCATAATTTTGACTTGCATCTGATTTCTGCTCAAGACCTTTATTGAGTTTAGTCTTTCACCAGTTGATCAATCAATTTGAAATGAGTTCCTGTCCTCAGAGAATATTTAAATATATACTTCAATACACGTTTAGTTTTCTCAGATGGTGATAACTGTGTAACTACATAATAAATAAGAACAGAAAAGAAAACATAGAATGAATAAAAATTAATACAAAAAGAAGAAAGAAAAAAATTAAAAGGTGGAGAAATTAACTGAACACAAAGTATGAAAATGAGTGTAATAACGCTATTTCTATTATAGAATGGAAACAGGGGAACTTGAAAAAAAGAGGTATAATAACAAGAGTAAGTGAAACACTTTTGAAAAATAGGCAACAGTGGG